GCGATCAAATGAAAGCTATTGCAACGAAAGGACGTTTATCAAAGTCTTCAGAACTGTCAAATCGTAGAATTGTCGATTAGTACAAAAGGTTAAAGGTCGCAGGCGCTTCCTCGCTTAAAGTTGCTGTGATTATTCGGTGACCCAGGGTTGAAACAACTTCCCCTAGGCCCTACACGCGACGTATACCTTTCGTTTCGATTCTCAGAAATTCAAACATTCAAAAAAAGCTAGAAAATGCGAAAATGTTACCCTAAAGGCTATATCGTAAGATCGTTGAATAGTACAAAACGTAAAGATCGCAGGAGCTTTCTCGCTAAAAGTTTGTGATTACGCGGTTACCTGGGCTGAAACAACTTCCCCAAGGCCCAACATGCGACGCGTAAAATTCGCATTGATTCTCAGACATTCCAATGTTTAAACAAGGCTAGGAGTATGCGAAAATTGCATGCAAAATGTCTTATCGATCCTCGAACACATCCAGGAATACAAGCACCGCTACGGCAATATGACTGATGCTGTCGCACAGGTGGTAATATTCAGACCGACCTTGGACAGAAAAGGTATAAAGTCAGATTCTTTCAGATCTTCACGTTATGCCTGCGTCAGAGAGCACGAAGAAGTTCGAAATCGTCGGCAAGCTGCGGCACATTACGACTACCGCGCACCGAACAAACTTGTATCCACCAGCTCTGGGCGCTGCCATCTTACCGGTGACATCACGGCTCTTGCGAGGTCACGTGACAAGTAGGCCCTCGGTTGCTAAGGGAACCGAGCCAGCTCAGCTCGTTGCTATGGTACCGCGTGTGACCAATCACGGTGAGAGGCGGCACAGGGAAAAGCGTGGCGCTACTCTGGCAGCTACGCTGCCATATCGAGTGGCTCTACTGGAAGCCTGAGTACCACGTGACTCGCGCCGCGCTGCTCTGTCGGCCATGTTGTCGGCGAAACACGCGGATCAAAGGATTGCGCTACTCTGCTCCGTAGGAGCTATATAGTGCTCTAGTTGTCTCATAAAAGCTGCGGCGCCGCGTCCAATAATAATAATAAAAAAACGATATATATATATGGGTGATTTCAACTCAAATCGGGCAGGCTAAAAGGGTCTAATTTTTAATTTTCATGAAAAAAATATATGTTTTGGGGGTATTTCTCAAATGAAGGAGGGCGCAAACCGCAAGTTCCCCAGATTTTTTGTTCTCGAGTTACGAAGCGCAGAAGCCGCATTGGCAGAAACTAGTGTTTTTGCCTGCCGTCGCAGGTCGTGTGTTTGACACCCTCTGCTGGCGCTATTGTTTTCTCTACACCGTTTTAACTTTTCCCCTTCATTTAATAGGTATTATAAAGATACCTTGATGTATTCAAATAGTTTTAGGAATTTGATTGTTTTCTAAAAGACATGTCAAACTTGTCACTCCGGTCGCTTTTTGGTCAAATTTGACAGGTCATTACTTTGTCTGTACTTAAGGTAAATTTTCTTTCTTTGGCTCTACAGAAAGCCCAAAGCAAGCCCATTATAGATATAATAATATCATTATTATCTGCCGAGTAGCCGCTCCGCTACCTTCACGTAAACGTTGTGAAAAATAACAAATGTTCCCACATTTCACGCGATTGCGGCTCAAACAGAGGACATACAACCAAAATATTACATTTCTAGGCTGTTTTTTTTTGTAGTCGACTAATATGTCTAAAATAATTTTAAAAATAAATAGTTACAAAAATGGGGGTTTTGAAAAATTCGACCTCAAACTTTCAACATTTGTTATTTCTTACAACGTTTACGTGAAGGTAGCGGAGCGGCTAATCGACAGATCATAATGATATTATTATATCTATAATGGGCTTCCTTTGGGCCTTCTGTTGAGCCAAAGAAAGAAAATTTCCCTTAAGTACAGATAAAGTAATGACCTGTCAAATTGGACCCGAAAAGCGACCGGAGTGACGAGTTTGACGTGTTTTAGAAAACAATCACATTCCTAAAAATATTTGAATACATCAAGGTATCGTTATAATACCTATTAAATGAGGGGGAAAAGTTAAAAGGGTGTAGAAGAAACAATAGCGTCAGCAGAGGGTGTCAAACACGCGACCTGCGACGGCAGGCAAAAACACTAGTTTCTGCCACTACGGCTTCTACGGCTCGTAACTCGAGAACAAAAAATCGGGGGAGCATGCGGTTTGCGCCCTCCTTCATTTGAGAAATACACCCAAGACATATATTTTTTTCGTGAAAATTAAAAATTAGACCCTTTTAGCCTGCCCGATTTGAGATGAAATCACCCATATATACTTTTTTTTCTTTTGATAGGAGAGTTGTGAACTTGTAATTACCTGAGCAGCGCAGTTGGGGTGGTTATTTCTTGCGCGAGAAGCTTCAGATCTTCTCCTTCTAGCCGTTCTCGGTGGTAGCGGCACATCTTCTTCGAGGTAGTGCTTGTATTTGGAAGGCATCGGCGTCTGCCGCTAAGAGCGCGCGTCCGTTGCGAAATGCGTTCGTTGTTCGTTGAACGCATGATTCACTTGCATTGCGAATTGTGATCGCAGAGGACAAGTGCGCATTTGATGCACGGAAGAGAACAACACATTATGATTGGCGGTCCGTTTTCCGTTTAGTCACAGGGCACGATCTAACGGTGCGTTTTCAAAGACGAAGAAGCGCCGATGCTCTGTGGAGCTTGCTACTAAGACAGGGGACGGGACAAGACATCTTTCAACTTTCAACAAACAAATGATTTATTGCCGGACGCTTCGCCTTCGGAACTCCACTATAGGAGAGCGAAATTTAATAGGAGGGAGAATGGGAAGGAGGGGGGCAAGGCAAGGCCCCGGGGGAAAAACTGGGGGAAAGGAAACCGCAGAGACAGCGGGAAGGAGAGGAAGGGAGGAGGCGTCCCGATTTCCCTCTAAGGAGCAAGGACCTCTCGCCCGGCCCGCCAAGGTCATCAACTCCGGTCTCAGGAATGTCACCTCTCTCTCCGACAGCGACAACGAGGCCGACGAAATGTTCTTCGGCGCCTCTTTTATGGCGTACGCCTCTACGATCTCGCGCCCGTAGCGGTTTTTGTTGGCCCCCAGAACACGCGCGGACGGGAACTGAGGGGCACAGGGAGCGCAAACCTTGAGGTGATGGACCATGGGGTGTTGGGAGTCCTCGGCGTTTCTTTCTATTTCTCTTTCATGCTCGCGCAGGCGGTCGTTGAGGCAGCGGCCCGTCTGCCTGATGTACTCTGCCCCGCACGAGAAGGGCACGGAATACACCCGTCCGACTGCGCAGGGAACAAAGGGTGCCGCGTGCCTCTTGGCGCAGTCTATCTTGGGAGGAGGGGGGAGTTCACCAGGAGGCACATTGCGCTCAACTTGAAGGGGCACGAAAACGCAACGTCCAGGTCGAAGCGCCTAGCCACTGTTTTTAGTCGGTAGGCGGTGTTGTGGAAATAGGGGATGACAGTGAACCTTTGCCGTGCAGGCTTCCGTGCGGTGGCTTTTTCAATTATTAGTTTTCTGAGCGTGGAGGACCAGCAGGTCGCGCGGGTATCCGGCGTTTATGAGGCGGCGGAGCTGTCCCTCCAGGCTAGATGGGGAGAGGTGTTGCTTGGACGTAGTTCAACTACTCTACTCAAACTACTGTGGTTTAACTACTTTTCCGAGTGTGATGATGTGACTCAATGTGGAAAAGAAGAAGTGCAAGTCAACCCATGGATCGGCCCAGAGGGAGAAAGGAAGATGACGAAGAAGGGAAGTTTTGAGAGTGCGTGCAGAGGGCGCGTGAAAGCGACTGGCCGAGGAGAACGTGCGGAGCGGAACGACACCATCGGCCAGGGCAATCGGCGGCCTCCTACTGTCTGACCAGCAGCCTGTTCCAGCGAGGACAGCGAATAGAAGCCTACGCTGTCCCCGGCTTTCTACAGCGCGAGCGCTTGGTGCGGTAACTCTGGGGCCGCCGACGGAAGCCAACCGCTCCCGCTCCTGACTTCCAGCCACAACCGTGGGCCGACAACGACAGCACAAGACACACTGCTGCACAGGGATTCAAAGACATGGTGACTCATGCGTTTTCCTTTCTTTCATTTCTTTAACTAAGTTTTCCTTTTTTTGTATAAGCATATGAACTCTTTGATTTCTTTTTTGTAAATACAAGTTTTTATGAAAAACGAAGGACATTGTATCTTGTCAATTATTAACCACAAAGAACCTCGCAACAATTAACTGGCGTCCGCGACAGGACAAGATATTCTGTTCCTTCGTTTTTCTACGCAACAATAATTAATCAGAATGGAGGTTAAAGAGTTAATGTCTTTGGGCGCTGAATTGGGACTGGCAGGAGCGGAGTTGAGGTATTGGGTGGACGAGGAGCGAGCACGCCAACGAGAAGAGAGGGTTGCTGAGAGGGAAGCACAGCGCCTCAAGGCAGAAAGTGAGCAACGCATTATCGAACTAAAGATTCGTCTTGCAGAGGCTAGCGCAACCGAGATAGGACGAGCAGATGGCAGTGAAGGGTCACGTCGCGCATCTATATCGCTTTCTCCTAGTCCTCACAAGCTTATGCCTCCCTTCGATGACAAAAGGGACGACCTCGACTCGTATTTGAGGAGATTTGAGCGTGTAGCTCAGGGGCAAGATTGGCCGCAAGAGAAGTAAGCGACTGCTCTAAGCATGTGCCTTGTTGGTCCAGCTCTGGAGGTCATAGGTAGGATGTCACCTGAAGACTCTCTGAATTATGATAAGGTGAAGAGGGCTTTGCTCCAGCGGTTTCGGTACACGGCAGAAGGGTACCGCGAGAAATTTAGAGAGAGCAAGCCGTTGGACGGAGAGACAGGGAGCCAGTTTGCTGCAAGACTAGAAGGGTTCTTCGACCGGTGGGTCAGTATGAACGCATGCCCAAAAACATAGGGGGGGTTCGTGACCAGATGATCGGAGAGCAATTCCTTCGGAATTGTGATCTTAGGCTGGCTGTCTTCTTAAAGGAAAGAAGCTGTAAGTCCATATCGGCGCTGGTCGAAATGGCGGACCACTTCCTGGAGGCGCGGGGCCAGCTTAATCTGGCCAACTTCAGGAAGGAGGCCAAGGAAGCCTTAGATTCCCTGAAGGAAGATGTGCAAAGCAGCAAACCCGCTCTAAAGATAAAATGTTTCTTGTGTGGTAAGTTGGGCCACAAGGCAGCAGATTGCCGATCAAAGCCAGAAAAACGCGTATTCTGTCAAGCGTGTCAGAGTCCAGAGTCCAGATCATGACCGCAAGGAAAAAACGGAAAGACAGAAGTTTCATGTTTCGTAGAACCCGATCATGATCCTGTTGGTAAGACGGACGCGTTTTCACGGGGAAGGAAGAAAATCTCAAGAAACGCCTTCAGAACGCCCGCCAAGAATATGACTGAAAAGGCGAGACCAAGTCTGTCGGAAGTTATGCCAATCACAGATGGGATTTTGAACGGCAAAGCAGTAAAGGTGTTGAGGGACACCGGGAGTAACACCGTGATAGTGCGCCGGGAACTGGTCGCATCTGAATATTTTTACTGGCAAAGTCAGTCCCGTATTTTTAGTGGACGGGACGTGTCTGATGTTGCCAGAGGCAAACATTCGCCTTGTGTCGCCGTTCCTAACGGGACAGGTAACTGTCAAGTGTATGGACCATCCTCTGTGTGACGTTATTGTGGGGAATATTCATGGAGAGAAAGACTTGACCGAACAAACCCTGAAGGAGGTGTCTGACGCGGAAGGTGAAGTCGTCGCTGCCGTCGACGGTAGTATGCCAAGTAAGCTAAACCAACTTAGTAACGGTGGGAGTGTTGGGGAACGGGGGGACCTGCGGCTCTCGCAGTGGGGTGACACCGATGCCAAGGAGCGCTTGAAAAGCAGGTCAACCACTCACGAGCAGTACCTGGAGAAGGAGAAGCTGCTGCAGCAGGTCTTCGACATGAAGAAGCCGGTGTACCCCAAGCCCCGCAGAGTGCTCTACCCGAGGCCGCGCCTCAAAAAGAGGGAGCCTGAGGCCCAAACGCTGGTTTCGCCACTGGGCCCGACCGATAACTACCCCGTGCCGGAGGTAGATCCTCACGACAGCGTCCCGACCGAGTTCATCCAGTGCTATAGCCTGGCAGGAGCCGACCCTTCAGTCTCGCCCGGAGAAGACACCATAGAGCACGGAAATGGAAAGGCCAAGAGGAAGTGTCAGGATGGACGGCAGGAGTTCCTTGAAAGGCAAGTGGACCGGGAAGAAATGATCCAGGAAAAAGAACTGCGCCTTGAGGAGCGAAGGCTCAAGCTCGACGAAGAGCAGCTGGCCTTTGAGACGACCAAGTTTGAAGCAGAGATGGCGGTCAAGGTCAGAAGGCTAGACATGGAGGAGGAGGAGCGCAGGATACGCGACGGCACAGACAAGATGCACCTGGAGCTCATGAAGATGATGTTTGACGAACTGGTCCGGAAGGCACTGTGATCGAGAACTGCCAGAAAATTCTTCGTCGCGTATGAAGTGCTTTGGTACGATGGTGGGCATTATCACCCAGCGTTAGAAGAAGCGAAGTGGATTCAAATAATTATTCATTACGATTCATTCATTACGATTGAGAGGAGTGCAAAGTAGAATGAAATTGTAATAATTTATCGTTAGAAGTTTTTGTAGTAATATACCTCGGGTTCTGCATTTTTCGGAGCGTATTTGCAAGGAAATTTGAGAACGTATGGAGACGTTAAAGCAGTTTTTTGAGTAAACCCATGAAGTGCGAAGTCGGTATGAGGACAATAACATTCATGGGTCATGGTCTGGGTAATAGAGAAGTTTCGTGTGTATTTGTATGGAACGCATTTTGTTGTTCAGACGGACCACCATCCTTTACAATATCTAAACAAGGCGAAACAACTTAACAGCTGAGTGTTACGCTGGAGTCTGATGCCTCAAGAGTATTCGTTTCGCGTGGAGTACTTTTAAAAAAAGTGAGAATGTGGGTGCGGGTTATCTTATTAGGCTGCAATGAACTTGCGCACATCATCATGGTCTTGGTTTTTTTGTGTGTCTAATTTTTTTGGTACTTAAAAAAAAAAAAAAACTTAAAGGGGGGCTTTTTGTGAGGATGTGACTCAATGTGGAAGAGAAGAAGTGCAAGTCAACCCATGGATCGGCCCAGAGGGAGAAAGGAAGATGACGAAGAAGGGAAGTTTTGAGAGTGCGTGCAGAGAGCGCGTGAAAGCGACTGGCCGAGGAGAACGTGCGGAGGTCGGAACGACACCATCGGCCAGGGCAATCGGCGGCCTCCTACTGTCTGACCAGCAGCCTGTTCCAGCGAGGACAGCGAATAGAAACCTACGCTGCCCCCGGCTTCCTACAGCGCGAGCGCTTGGTGCGGTAACTCTGGGGCCGCCGACGGAAGCCAACCGCTCCCGCTCCTGACTTCCAGCCACAACCGTGGGCCGACAACGACAGCACAAGACACACTGCTGCACAGGGATTCAAAGACATGGTGACTGATGGGTTTTCCTTTCTTTCATTTCTTTAACTAAGTTTTCTTTTTTTTTTTGTATAAGCATATGAACTCTTTGATTTTTTTTTTTGTAAATACAAGTTTTTGTGAAAAACGAAGGACATTGTATCTTGTCAATTATTAACCACAAAGAACATCGCAACACCGAGTAACTTGGTAACTTTCAATTACAACTTTATTTGGGTGATTAATAGTTTAATTTAACTACGTTTTTCAGGTAACTTCAACTAAAATTACTAACTACTTTTGAAATCTAGTGCTAATTTTGCTTATCACGAAAGTTTGCGCGCAGAAATAAATAGGACGCCGGTATATCAAGTGGCATTCTCGAACAAGGGGCCCCCTGACATTCCGTTCCCAGGCACTTATGCTCGGCAGCCGTAAAAACTGCATCAGGGGCGTCCTTGGGCCAAGTTAGCGACAAACAGCCAGAACATAACACCGCCGCGCACGAAAGCAGGCAGAGATGCTTAACAAGCCTTGGTCGGGTATTGACCTAATCCGGTAATGCACGCAGGATCCGCGCCTCCAGGTGCAACCGTGAAAGACGGAGAGAGACACTCCAAGGGTTGTTGTTTTCATGTTTTCTGCCTTCAGTAAGTTCTGCCTCAAGCTACCTGATTGTTCCACGGGAAGCTCTACCGGAATGACCTCGTAGCTGGGCGCCTGTTCCCATTGTCACCTCGTCGTCAGCGCATAGCCTTTGCAAAGCCGGACTACCCCGCGCACAAACCCAGGCGCGGATAATCCGCTCCCAGCTGCAATTGTACGAGCGACGATACTTGTTCACGTAACTTGTCGTGTCCTTCTGACCTTCCACGCCACGGAGACCTCCTGTTTGTTGAAAACAATTTGCTTGTCAGGCGTGTCAGGCGCCGGCGAGGATTGCGAGTCACCCTTGGGAGATCCTTTTGTTGGACCAGGCGTCAGCGGCGAATTATACTTTGTTTCATCTTTTATTAAGGCAAAATATTTTTTTCTTTTCAGTAGCGTAGCACTAGCACTGCAACGTGACGGGCAGTTGTCCGGATGATCTCATCGTCGTGGCTGAGACTTGAACCCTTGACTGTCAGTGTCCGGTGCACTCACTCAGCGTACTCTCCGAACGTCGCGGGAATAAAGAGGGGCCAGTCATAACAATCTCAACTTGCCGAAGAAAAAAGAAAAAAAGAGGAGTTTGTTATAAACGACCGTCTAGGGCCAAAGCAAACCACACATGTTTCGTCATGAACACCTTAGATGCTGACACTCGCTTACCCGACCCTGCACAGACTGTTTCTGAAATTCAACGCTGCCGTTCCATCCAGCGCGTCGGTGGAACGTCTTGTTAGCTTGGCTTGGGACGTCTTTAGGAGGAAAAGGGGAAAACTTTCCTATCAAGAACGTTGAGAGTCGATTGCTTCTGCGAGCGAATAAACTATTTTGGTGAACACGCAAGCCATAAAATGACTGCATTTATTTTAGGCTCGCAGTGTTTTTCACGGATCAAAACTGCTGTTCATTTTGCTACCACAAAAATATAAAAAAGTAACTTCAAAGTAACTCGCTACTTTTTACAGTAGTTTGTAGTTTACTCAATTACTATTACAAATGCGTAATTTCTACTCTACTCCAATTACGTTTGGCGTCAATACTCAGTAACTTAACTTAATTACCTTTTTTGAGTAATTTGTACATGTCTGGTTGGCAGGACTTTGTGCGGGTGGAGGAGATGAGACTATTTGCGATGCCTGTTTTTGGTGTCTTTCAGTGGTGACATGAAAACGGCAGCACCGGCTTCTGTGACCGCTGCTGGAAGCGCCAGCAAGTGCCTCCCTGGGTGGCTACGAGGCGTACATCAAGGAACTGGAGACCCTCCGACGAGGGGTCCTCCCTGGTGAAGCTCAGGCCGTTTGCGTTGTCTGTGAAGGCCTTCTGGATGGTGGCGGTGGGCGCGCCATCGTCGTGGAGCACCAGATAATCGTCCACATATCTGTACACCTGGGTTCCTGGGGCGACGCTGTCCAGTTGCTCCTTGACGGCTTGATCCACGAAGGACAGGTAGACCTCGCTAAGCGCAGGTGCCAGGCAGGACCCGATGCAGACGCCCGATTTTTGTAGGTATGTCTTTCCGTCATGCTCCACCATGGTCGATCGAAGGTATACTCTGATTAATTGCAAGAACGCGCTGAAGGGGATGCTGGAAGAATTTTGGAATTTGACGATGCCCTGTGCAGTGAGGGCTTTTTCTACGCATCCAGGAGAATGTTGAAGTTGAGGCTGTAGTAGATGTCGGTGATGTCTAGGGAGAAGAATGTGGTACCTGGGCCTGATCTGTGAAGAAGCTGAAGAGCTGGGAGGAGTTCCTCAGAGCTGCCTACGCGGAAAGGCTGGTCCAGAGGGACGGCTGCGAGGTGCTTCAGCAGGTAGAGAGCCAGAGGCTTCTGCCAGCATCCATTTTCTGATATGATGCTCCTCAGCGGGATCTCCGGCTTGTGTGTCTTGGCGGTGAAAAACACTTTTAGGTACTGGTTTGCAGGGGCAGACACTCTCGAGAGAAGCGACGAAAGGTTGTTCGACCTGCAGATGTCTTTGACTTCCGAACGGAGGGTGCCGGACGGCCTTTTCTTAACGAGGACGAAGTTTTTCTTGATGGCGAGTTCAACCCTCTTACCGAAGTTAGACTCGTTCATGACCACAACCACTCCTGTCTTGTCTGCATCCAAAAGCTTCAGGTCACACCCCCTGAGCTCATTCACCACTTGTGGAAATTCTGGTTCGGTTGGGTGGTTTGCTCCATGCATGCACACCAAACGGGAACCAACACCGAGGAACTCTTGTCGGGCAGGCTCCGGAATTCTCGACGCAATCTGGTGTACCGCTGCGAGCTGATCCACTCTTGACGGTGTGACAGAAGGAGCAAATTTGGGTCCCTTTGAGAGCATTGCCTCGGCTTGTGGTGAAAGGTTCTGGCCCGAGAGATTTAGCGGTGGCTGAAGCTTGGGCAACTGGTTCGCTCGTTTTTTTCTGGAAGCAGTTGCAATAACGACCTTCCAAGATGAATCAAGAAGGTCTTGCCCTGACTTGGTTAGAAATATGTACGAAGGGTGAACTGTAAAGCGGGCACCGAATTCGATGCCCGTCATGAGACCGGGAAGTGATTTCTGCATGACAAGAATTTCCTGCGAGAGCTCAATGCGTGCTATCTGCATGACTATATAGTTGGCAGTCCAGCTGGCAGAGGTGAATCCAAATACGTGGTGGACGGTTGGATGAGGGATGGTCTTCCTGAGGTAGAGTCCAAAGGATCGCAGGCGCAGGCGGAGGAGATACAGTCTCGAGATGAAGATGGCGGCACGGAGAAAGGGGCCTGGCTGGAAACCCGAAGGTCCGATGCGTGGCGGTTGTGGGCGTGACAAACACATAGATTTACACAAGCCCCCTGCCCCCCTTCCCCCAAGACACTCCCAAAGTGTGCCCCCCCCCCCCCTAAACATTTGGGCCACCCCCAGGTTTAAAATTCCTGATAAACCCCTGCCGGGAAGTGAGAAAGCTGTGTGTATGCATTAGGCGTGTATTTGGTGCGCAACTCGGAGGACGTATTGAACAAACTGGGGTCCACTACGGTAGATCGAACGCCGTTTTATCGAGGCTCGTTCTAGCGAAAACGGTACGTTTTATGGAAGCATGGTTTAGCGAAAAAAGGGTACGTTTTACCGAAACCTCCGTTACAAAAATTGTGTTTCTAGGCAGTAGCAAGCTAGGCTTTCAAACACCGCGATCACCCCTTGGCCGAGAGTGTATATGCCACCAAGGGTTCTGCCGGTTGGGCACTGTCAACACCATCATAGGCGTAGACTTCGGCGGGAAGGGGGGGGGGGGGGGCAGAGCCCTCCCCCACCTCCCTCCTTGGGCCCGGGCCTTGATCCTTACCAATCGATGTTTAAGTGCCATGTAATGAGCTTCTATAGTAGCGGCA